GCCTCATCCACACAGTCCAGACCACATTCACTCAGCCGCTCTATCCTGGGTTTACTGTTTATAGAGGATCATCAGTGAAACTGTGTTGATAAATCAGAATAGACTGACGAGAGACTCTACCCATAATGCTTTGAGCTGCATGATAAATCAGTAACAGTAGATGTTATAGAGTCTCTTCTTTTCTCTTCATGACATTAATACTGCAGTTGAAATTCTTTCACAGAAATAACATGTCAGAATAAATGTTTGTAATAAACCCTCATGTAGACAGTAAGATCAGTGTGTGTGTGAGTTCTGCTGAGTGACCATGTGTTTCTGTGCTTTTCTCAAACTCTGGGTGCTTTCACACTTGGTTCGATTGCCTGGTCTGAACCCGAGCTCGATTGCTCTTTGGGCAGGATAAGCGATATATTGAATAATTTAGGTGAGTGTATCAGCTACGCACTGATGATACAGGAAACTGATCCAACACAAAATATATTTCTTTATGTACATAATTTTGCAGGAAATATTAAACATGAACATATATCTAGTATAAGTATCTGAAACTGATTCAAATATACAATGAATAATACAATACTAAATATGTAAAATTATTTAGTAAATAATAATACTCTGTTACTAAATTGTTCTATGTTTTATTGAAATTCAAAGCTTATCAGGCATCATCTTGGAAATAAAGCTTCATGTCTTTAAGTCTGTACCGTATGTAGTCAGTGTTATTTTTCTGAATAAGTTATGATATGTATATTTTTATTGTTCTGATTGAAAATCTATTTCAGACTCTTAACAATTTGAAAACAAAGTATAACAATAATAATAATTTGCATGGTTTGATGTGATATGAGCTAAGCGATCGTTAGATTTAATCACCATTGGTAGCGTGATTTATTGTAATGTTTTTTTTTCCCTCAGTTAGCCAGAACAAAAGTGGCAGACATGTGGGCCTGAATTTCATTTTGGAAAATGGGGGAGAATTCCCCCTTTACGTGGCTCTTGTGGGGGTGGATTTTTTTAATTTGATGGGGGAGTTAGGGTATTTTTTTAGACATATTTTAAACTACCAGGAGACAGGAATCACATGACTTAAGGGAAAAAGAAAGTGAAAGTGTAGTTGAGCAGTTGTGTGTCTCTGTATTCATGCAGTAAAATGGCAGAAGCCAGATTTTCTCAAGGTGAGCTCTCATGTACAGTGTGTCTGGATCTCCTGAAGGATCCAGTAACCATCCAGTGTGGACACAGTTACTGTAAGAACTGTATTACAGACCGCTGGAATCAGGAAGATCAGAAGAGAGTCTACAGCTGCCCTCAGTGCAGACAGACCTTCAGTCCAAGACCTGCTTTAGCTACAAACACCATGCTGGCTGATCTGGTGGAGAAAATGAAGAATACTAAACTCCCTGCTGACTGTTACGCTGGAGCTGGAGATGTGCAGTGTGACGTCTGTACTGGAAGAAAATACAAAGCCGTCAAGTCCTGTCTGGTGTGTCAGGAATCTTACTGTCAAACTCATTTTGACGGTCATGAGGAATTTCATTCTCGTAAACCACACAAAGTGATTGATGCCACTGGACGACTGCAGGAGATGATCTGCCGGAAACATGAGAAACATCTGGAAATGTACTGTATTACTGACCAACAATGCATTTGTGAGCTGTGTACAAAATATGAGCATAAAAACCACGACACTGTATCAGCTGCAGCACAGAGGACAGAGAAACAGGTATTTACCGTCATGAGGAGTTTCATTCACGAAAACCACACCAAGTGATTGAAGCCACTGGACGACTGCAGGAGATGATCTGCCAGAAACATGAGAAACATCTGGAAATTTACTGTATTACTGACCAACAATGCATTTGTGAGCTGTGTACAAAATATGAGCATAAAAAACACGACACTGTATCAGCTGCAGCACAGAGGACAGAGAAACAGGTATTTAAAACTAGCGCTTACACTTGTCATGCGAAACAAGCTTATATCTCCATGTTAATTTGTGTACAATTGTGGTAAACAATCAATCATCCTTTCTGGACTTTGAACCTACAGCCATTGGTTATCAGTTCCACTTTTACTGGATTCATCTGTTCACATGATGATTTAGAGCCAGAAGTTTTCTGTAATATTTACTGTCATCCATTTGTCCTGCAGAAGCAGCTGAAGGAGAAGCAGAAGTCGTCCCAGCAGAGAGAGAAAGATCTCCAGCAGCTGAGAGAGGCTGTGGAGTCTCATAAGGTGAGTCTGGAGAAGAAGAGAAGTTTGTCTCAGTCTCAGTTCAGTCCCACTGAAGCCTGAATCACTGTGTGTCCTAACAGCGCTCTGCACAGACAGCAGTGGAGGACAGTGAGAGGATCTTTAATGAGCTCATCTGCTCCACTAAGAGACGCTGCTCTGACCTGGTACGGCTCCTGATTCCTGATATCAGAGATCAGGAAAAGGCTGCAGTGAGTCAAGCTGAAGGACGACTGGAGCGACTGGAGCAGGAGATCAATGATCTGAGGAGGAGAGACGCTGAGCTGGAACTGCTTTCACACACACAGGATCACATCCAGTACCTACAGGTAACAGAGATCTAAAAGAATAGGATCATAGTGGACTTGAGTGAGATCCTGCTGTGACAGGACACCACTAGTGCCACCAACAGTTCAAAACTTCACTAACTTTTAAACTTTTAAAAAATTGGATCAGGACATCTTCAAAGTATATATCTTCAAAGCTGTATATTAGCAATCAGTCCCACAAGGTTTTCAGACAAAAATTCAAGGTGTCGCAAATAATTAGTTTTTAACTGAAACTGTGTTCCTTAGTGATTGGGCGGCATGACAATGGAGTAAGGGATCCAAGTGCAAGCTTTATTAAAGAGAGTAGTTGAAACAGGCAGGGTCAAACACCAGCAAACAACTATGTCCCAAGGCAAAACAAAAGAGTAATCCAAATAACAGCATTGGTCAGGTCAGGCAGCAAATGATCACAAACCACGGAACAATCAACACAAAGACAATTAGGCAAGGAAACAAGGAAATGCTTAGAAATGTCTCTTAACAGCTAAACAAAACTCAGCAATGTGTGAGTGAGAGAGTGCAACTTAAATAGTCCTCCTAATGGGAAACAGGTGTGTTCGTAATCAGTTCCTAGGCTGGGGTTTCTGGGAAATGGAGTCCGGGGTGAGAAGGTGAAGGTAAGGGCTGGAGATCGTGACAGAGCTCCCCCCCCCCTCTTAATGAGCGGTTTCCAGATGCTCCCCAAAGGGTCATAGAAGTCCAGGAGGAAGGCGGAGAGGAGGCAGAACAGGGGGAGGGATGGAGGGTCAGGTTCCTGTGGAATTCACTGAAGCCTGAATCACTGTGTGTCCTAACAGCGCTCTGCACAGACAGCAGTGGAGGACAGTGAGAGGATCTTTACTGAGCTCATCTGCTCCATTGAGAGCAGCTGCTCTGAGCTGGTACGGCTCCTGATTCCTGATATCAGAGATCAGGAAAAGGCTGCAGTGAGTCAAGCTGAAGGACGACTGGAGCGACTGGAGCAGGAGATCAATGATCTGAGGAGGAGAGACGCTGAGCTGGAGCAGCTTTCACACACACAGGATCACATCCAATACCTGCAGGTAACAGAGATCTAAAAGAATAGGATCATAGTGGACTTGAGTGAGATCCTGCTGTGACAGGACACCACTAGTGCCACCAACAGTTCAAAGCTTCACTAACTTTTCAACTTTTTAAAAATTGGATCAGGTGATCTTCAAAGTATATATCTTCAAAGCTGTATATTAGCAATCAGTCCCACAAGGATTTGAGACAAAAATTCAAGGTGGCGCAAATAATTAGTTTTTAACTGAAACTGTGTTCCTTAGTGATTGGGCGGCATGACAATGGAGTAAGGGATCCAAGTGCAAGCTTTATTAAAGAGAGTAGTTGAAACAGGCAGGGTCAAACACCAGCAAACAACTATGTCCCAAGGCAAAACAAAAGAGTAATCCAAATAACAGCATTGGTCAGGTCAGGCAGCAAATGATCACAAACCAGGGAACAATCAACACAAAGACACAAAGGCAAGGAAACAAGGAAATGCTTAGAAATGTATCTTAACAGCTAAACAAGACTCAGCAATGTGTGAGTGTGAGAGTGCAACTTAAATAGTCCTCCTAATGGGAAACAGGTGTGTTCGTAATCAGTTCCTAGGCTGGGGTTTCTGGGAAATGGAGTCCGGGGTGAGAAGGTGAAGGTAAGGGCTGGAGATCGTGACAGAGCTCCCCCCCCCCTCTTAATGAGCGGTTTCCAGATGCTCCCCAAAGGGTCATAGAAGTCCAGGAGGAAGGCGGAGAGGAGGCAGAACAGGGGGAGGGATGGAGGGTCAGGTTCCTGTGGAATTGGAGGACCTGGAGACTGAGGCAGAGCCAGTGGAGCAGGAAGTCAGGGCAGAGCAGGGTGAGTTGAAGACCACCAGGACAGAGCAGGCGAAGCTGAAGACCAAAAGGTGGAGCTGAAGAGCACCAGGGCGGAGATGAGGACCACCAC